CTGCCCCGCGGCCCCGTCCCGGCTCCGCGGCCCCGTCCGGCTCCTCCGGCTCCGCAGCGCCGAGCGGGGCTGCGCACGTGACCGCGCCCCGCGCCCCCATAGGCTGCGGCTGCCGGGCAACGCGCGCCCGCCCCTTCCCTGCACCTGAGAGCGCTGTACGCCAACTGCGTACGAGGCGCCGCGCCGCCCTGCGCCAGCTCCGTAGCGCCGCGAASCCGGCCGTTTCCTGCAGGCCAGCGCAGCCTTACGGAATCGGCGTAGGGCGGCTCGGCCCGCCCGGCTCCCCACCTGCGGCCGCTGCTCCCCGCGCACCCCGCGCGGTCCCGCCCGCCGCCCGGGGAGCGGCGCTGCCGCTCGGAGCGCCTCGCGGCCACACGCGGCGGGAGCGGCCGAGCCGCACCTGGAAACGCCGCTTGCGTAGAGCCCCTCCGAGAGGTCGGTGTGTGTTACGGACTCTCCGTAATGTCGTCAGCGCGGGCCGCACCTGAGGGCTCCCGCTGCGGAAACGGCGTAGGCGCGAGCGTGCCGGGCGCAGAGCGCGCAGCGCTGAGGGCGCGGGCCGGGCAGGTGTGTGAGGGCAGGGCCGGCCGGGCAGCGGCCGAGATCGGGGCTCTGCGGCGGGCAMCGGCCGAGATCGGGGCTCTGCGGCGGGCACCGACCGTGCGGCGACACCGGCCCGGCACCGGCCCCGGCCGTGAGCGTGAATAGCGCCGGCAGCCCCGGCCCCGGCGGCTGAGGGAGGCGCCGGGCGGGCCCGGGGGCAGGGCTGAGGGGAGGGGGCAGGGGCAGGGGTGCGGCAGGGTCTCGGCCCCTCACGCAGTGCGCGACCTTGGTGGGTTTAATATCCCGCTGCCAAATACAAAACAGGACAGAAAGAGTAGGTTCCTAAATTAAGTCGAGGAATAGGGTTTCGATGTGAGCGGTTGGGCTCCTTGTGGAATCCTCAGTTGCTGAGGTGAAATCAAGGCACCTTTGTGGTGTGTTTGGACAGGTTGGGCTGCACAAGGAGTGTGGCGGTCAGTGATTTCCATCTTTCTCTTYTAGAGATCAGGACAAACGGGTTTAAGTTTTCAGCTCCCTGCAATAATTGTTCCCAATCGCAGGCAGGTGGCTGTTSTAGAGCAGATGGGCCCTGCAGTGGAGTCCAGAGAGTTCCCACAGCTGATGTTCATCAGACCCCAGAGCAGCCCTGATGAGCAGAGCCTTCAGGTACAAGGAGAGAAAGTTGAGTCTGATGGGATTTTCTTTCTTCCTTTTTTTGTGCATTCCATAGAACATTTACAGAACTTTATAATCCTTCAACATTCCTTGTGCTTCAACACTCAAATGGCCAATATATTCAATTGAGTGCTTCAAAATTTCTGCCAGAATTTCTTGGTTAAGTGCCTGTTTGAGCTCAACTTTCAGCRTACGAGTGCATGGCAATTGTATTCGATATTTCTTTTTATACTTTTCAAAAACTGATTTTATATAGGCTGTGAAGATGAAAGACTGGGGAGCTMTGTTCCAAAATAATCAGTACACAATGTGCTGTGCTGAAGCAGCCCCGAGGGAACTTTGACCAAAGGCTGTAGGATCAGGAGATTTGTGGTGCTGAAGTGAAACAGTAACTTTCATTCAAAAGAGTRATTTCGGTATTAGTGTGAAAGTAGAAAGCACGTGTGCATTAATAACTTTACATGCAGGGAGAGGTCCACCTTATTCCAATTAGACTTCTATTTTGTGTATTCCTTTGCAAGCCTGTGGCTGAAATGTCACCCTGGTTTTGAACAGTCAGACATTGCTCTGCCTTTGTAACAGACTTTTATCTTGTCGTATTTGAGGATTGAAAGGAGAAACAAATATRAGGAATCTCAGTGTCTCCTTTCATGTCTCAAATCAAGAGATTTCAAAGCAATGAATAAATTTAGCCAAATCTCCTGTGTGACCTTAAAATATTTGTGTGGACACTAAAGAGAGGCAGAAGATAATAGCTGGAAATCAAGGACTGGTCCAAGGACTTAACGTGAGCACAGTTTTATCTGAAATTGATTGCATCAAATAGAGACACAGCACAAATATAGTCTATAGAAAAGCTGCTGGGGGGTGGTGGGATGGGAAGGGGCAGCTGTGAAATGAATGGCTGTGCAGTGCAGCTGAAAATGTTGTGAGGAGGGAAAAATCTGCAAGAGATGGCACCTCAGGTAGTGAAGTTATTGCAGAGGTASAAGAAAGATGTTTTGAGCTGTGGTCTGAGTGAAATCTTGAATTTTTCTGTTGAGTTCTCCCTTGGGCTAATGATTTGCCAAGGGCAAAAACACAGAGGAAAGGGGATTGATGGATTAATTTAGAATACAGGGGATTGGAAGAGCTTTGGCGCTGCAGTACAAGGATATACATTTAACAAGAAAAAGAACATCTGAGGCTTGGAAAAAAAGTTAACATCTGTCTTTAGGCTTCATGGAATAAAAAGGAAGAAAATTGAATTTATAGCTCTAAGTACCACCAATAAAAGATGGGTATTGAATTGTGCCAAAAGAAACATAGAATTAAGAGTTCCTTGATGAAAGTTGAAGAAATTAACAATAATTATTCTCTTTCTTGGGACAAAAWACTGGCATARGAAGAATAATTTTAAAAAATATATAGCTATAATGGAAATAATGTTTGTTTCCTACAGATTTTTTTTATAGAAATAGTTAAGACATTGTCATGTGTTCTTGAATGTTACCKGCATCCCTGAAGGACAATTAGACACCAAGAGAGGAGGAATCACACCAGGAAATGTTGCCCAGGGCTCCTCAAGTCCCAGAGCAGGCTCTGGGGGGTAACATTTCAGAGATCTTTTAAGTGATAAGGATGAGGATCAGCTTGAAAAGCAAGCAAAACTGGTACTAAAGAAATGGGAAATACTTTCAGATTATGACTAATGCAATTATTAGAGAGGCTATTGCAGGCACTGTGGTGGATTTAGCTTCAAATAAGAACAGAAGTTATKCTATGTGTGATTGATTCCAGGTTGGGTTACAATTTAGAAGTGCAATTAGTGAGTCATCTGTTACTTTATATCAATTATTAAAAACATCAAAGGTCTAGGTTAAAAAAAAAAGAGTGCAGGTCTCAATATGTGCTTCTCTACTTGTTAATTTTCTGATTCTTGCTGGAGGTGTCTCAGCTTTGCAGAGTTGTGGTACAGAGTGTTCCTTAAACCAGCAYGTGAATTGCTCTTGAGTGAAGCAGCACTCACTCACCTGCCAGCCCCTGTGRCGTGGCCCTGTCACACCAACCCACACTTACCTGATTTGGCCAGAGTSAGCCCGAGGGCAGTGGCTGCAGTGACCTGCAGCTTCCTGAACCATTTGTGAACACAAGTGCTTTAATCTTATTTAGGTGCTGTTTAGGACACAGTGCAGTGCAGCTCGGCATTCCTGACAGCTCAGTTGTTGTGTAGACTCTGCTGCCCTCAGTGCTCTGGTTGTGTTCTCGCCCCATTCTGGCAACTGCTGAACGTGTAAAACTTCTTCTGGTGGCCATGACAAAACTCACAGCAATAAACACAGCTTTGAGGGACAGTGTCAGGCCCCACAGGAGAATTGATCTGACCCAACAGAAYATTCCTCATGAAATAAGAAGGCCCAGATACAAATGATATTACCAACCTTCAGTGGGCATTTAATTACTGTTTCTAATTAAGGTGATGCCCTAAATGATCATGTGAAGACTCCTCATCTGTAGCATGGTGTAACATGACATATCAACATGGGGTGTTGGTACTTCATTTGCACTTCAACATTTTTGTTGCAAATGAAARTGCTTCTGCCTGTTGTGCCCATGGGAATGGAGGACTGCAACTGGCTGCAGGGCATCTCTGCTGTGTGATCCATGAGGGAAAAGGGGCAGAAAGAAGGTTCTAGGGTCCCRTTGTTACTGAGCCTTTGGGGTTGGCAGTATTGTGTGCAGCAAGTTCCAGGCTGCAATTTAATGGTGGAAAGCTGTGAAGACTGAGCGCTGGTCTGCAGCTCTGCTCTCTGGACATGCCTGAACTGTGTGAACAGACATCCAAAGCAGAACTGAACTTCACAGAGCTTCACAGCTTTCAGTCTATACTTTGTAATACACATTTGAGATGTGAGTCCGTGATGGCTGAACATTCCCAATGATTGTGGCTGATGTGGTTTGCACTTCTGTGTTACTGGGCTTGTAGACATGCTGAACCAATCTGGAAATCAGCTGKTTTTTTCCATTTGTGGGTAGGACATGATATGTTTATCTCATATCAATATGRGATAAATATTTTCATTTGTTTCAGTGGCAAGTAGATAAATATTTGGGGTATATGTACGTCCTTTCTAGAAAAACAGAGATACTGTTGCAAGGATTGTTGTTTTAGGGAAGAGTGAGATGTGACCAGATAAGGGATGACAGGAGTTTGGTGCAGGTCCTTAGACAGATATATTAGGGTGGGTTTTTTCCCTTTTCCTTTGAAGTTTAAGATTGAAAACCTGCCATCATTTCTGCAAAGCAGAAACAACTTGGGTGGCCTTTTTGTCACTAATAGGCAGAGCAGCTAGGCAGGACGGACTCCATTGAAAAGAGGCTCTGTCACAGAAGAGGTTTTCCAGGTCAAGATTAAAAGCAAAACAGCTCTCATCACATGAGCCTTTGTACTGCGCCCATATTTTCTAAATGCTTTTGGCTTATCTTTAATGTTTATGCTGCTATCAAAAATAAACCCAGCTTCTCTCTCCCTGGGTGTTGTATTTAACATCAACAGTGAATAGGCTTTTTCATTCCTAAATGCTAATTTCCTTTCTGTGATCAATCTGTTTCTGGTACAAAAAGTTTTTGTTTTCAGTGGGTTTGGTTTCTTCCCTCTTTGGTTTTTTTAACTGTGTGTTTTCTCCTTCCCGTATCTGTTTCTGTCTTGGTATTTTTCTGGTGGCAGCAGTAGCTGAGTATCTGTCAATGACCCTGAAGTCTAGAACTTGAATCAGAGTTTGTTCGAGTGCAGCTGGCAGTACAGTCATATTTTTTTTTAAAAGCTTTACCAAGATTAAATTTTCATCAACATTCAGTGGAGAACTCTTAGTAATAATTGTAATTGTCTCACTTTGAACCGCGGTCAGAAATGGTCTAAAAATCTTGCTATAATGAGAATTTTGGTTATAATGAAGAAGTTTTATAACTTCATCAAAATTTTTGTGMAACTAGAGCCAGAATTCAATGGCTCCCAAGCTTACCCTTGGGATAAAACTGACCTTGCTGAAGCTGGTGAGGGTGTTTCCTGAATGTACCAGTACCCAAACCCAACCTGGCACGTGGCTCAGAGCAGATTGTCAGCCTCCTCTTGGTTCATGTCCAAGTGATTGAAGCTCCAGAGCAAACAGAGAAGGTCCAGTACACTGAAGCCTGGATGTGACRAATGGGTGTTGACCAGAACCAAGGACTCTTTGCAGTCTGCTTTGTCTCCTCTGTGA